TGAACTGGAAATTTTCAGCTGCAGACTTATTAGGGATTGCTTTTTAGGTTATTTCGTTAAAGTAATTTCCATTTAGTCCACATACTGTTTTCTTGGCTTTCTCCATGTCTTTCTTCAGTTCTTTGAACATCGTTAAGACAACTGTTTTGCAGTATTTATCATGTCCTTTCAGGGGCCTCGCTTAGTTGTGGGTTTTTTGTTTTGTTTTGCTATAGAGCATATGTAGTACTCCTTGGAAAGAGCGGAAAGAGACAGAGAGATAAAGGAAAGTGAGAAATTGTTATTAAACCTCCCCATAAGGGGGATAATCACACCACAATTCCTTCCTCAATATCCTTTTGGGATTTTGGGCATGCACGCACATATGCCTGGTGTGATTTTCCAGTCACTGGGTCTGAGATTCAAACCAGAGTCATCCATGTGGGATCCAGCTGCCTGGATACCTCCATGCCACTTGCTGGCCCAAGTGTTGTGTTTGTTGTTGTTGTTTTAATGAGTCCTCCTCTTCTCTTTGTATGTCTTATTATTTTTTGTTGTTGGAAACTAGACATTTGCACCTAATAATGTGGCCACTGTGGAAACCAGATTCATTGCCTTCCCGGGGGGTACTGGGTTTTGTTTTGGTTTTTAATTGTTATAAGCTGTCTCTGTTCTGAAGATAAGCCTAAGGTGCAAATTTCAGTTCTACTCAAGTGTTTTCCAAGCCTGTGTCCTTTCATGGACTTGTAATCTCCACTTTACAATGTATTTGCTTTGAATATATTAGACTTCAGTATCTGGCTCCCAAAAGGAGAAGAGGAAAAATGAAGGGAAAGTATTGAAAAAAGGTTGTGGCCTTATAAATCCCTTGGAAGGAACTTCAGCCTGAGGGAGATGTTGGCAACGATGTGGGGAAAGGCAACAATGACCACGGTCTCTTTGTCTGCACCTCTGTGGTCAGAAGTGATCAGAGCAGGGACCAGCAGTTAGCATAATGGCTATGTTGCTGGACTCCCATGTAGTCGACCGTGGTTCAAGTCCTGAACCCGGTGGCTTAAACTCACACTGGGTGCATGTGTGTGCGTGCCCAAGATCCTGAGAGAATGGAGGAGAAGGGACTGCAGCATGGCCATCCCCCCTGGGGGGGGGTGACTTCTCGTTTTCTATCTCTCTGTCTCTCTCTTTCTGGGAGCACATACGCCCTATAGCAAAAAACCTCCCCCCCACCCCTCCAAAAAAGATAAGTGATCAGAGCCCACATCCCCAGTACTGGGAGAAACAGCATCCTTTTTGTCTACCCTGGCTCCCCAGAGTTGTTGAAAAACTGTCTTAGGAACACATACACAGCTGTTACAGGGCTAGAGGTGGATCATGGGTAGCTGATTTGGTGATAAGAGCTAAATTGTGGTTAATTTTTGTTATGAGCAAAATTATCTGCAATTTACCACCCAGGTTTTCCCACCGGAAAGTTTTCTGAGTCTCAGAAAGACTCCAGAGTTTCAAAATGATTATATCTAACAGATTCTCCACTGAAGTTGTTGTCAAAGTGGAAACACAGATTTTGGCATTTTGTACAGTTCCATCTTCCCAGAATTCTTCTTATTTATTTATTTATTTTTTGAAAGACTTTTGCTATAGGGCATGTACACTTGCTGGAGAGACAGAGAAAGACAGACAAAAAGTAAGAAATCGCCCTCCAGGGGGATAGCCACACCACAATCCCTTCTCCTCCATTCTCCTCTTGGGATTTTGGGTACACACACACATGCGCCCAGCACGAGTTTCAAACTGCCAGGTCCAGGACTCAAATCACAGTTGACCAAGTGAAAATCCAGTGCCTTGACTACTAAGCCACTTGCCGGTCACCCAGAATTCTCTTTAAAACTGATATTTCGAGCTAGCCCCATAGCATAGTGGTTAAGCACAGTGTATAGGAACCTAGATATCACCTGGCCATCCACAGTCTGGATCCCAGCCCTAGCAGTTTGAAAAACAAAAGACTGACATTTTAACTGCATTGCATATGGCTAATAAAATTGAAATACTGAGCAAGTGGAGACAAGGAAGATACTTAAAAAAAAGAAGAAAGAAGAAAGGAAAAAAGAAAACCCACATCAAACATTTAGAAAGAAAAACTTTTATTTGTAAGATAAAAAATTATAATGAGGACCAGCAGTTAGCCTAATGGCTATGTTGCTAGACTCCCACGTAGTCAACCGCAGTTCACGTCCTGAACCCGGTGGCTTAAACTCATGCCAGGGGTGTGTGCGTGCGTGCCCAAGATCTCAAGAGGAGAACGGAGGAGAAGGGATTGCGGCGTGGCCACACACCCTTGGGGGTGATTTCTCGCTTTCTGTCTGTCTCTGTCTGGCGAGCACACGCACCCTATCGCAAAAAAAAAAAAAAAAAAAGAAAATGATTAAAAGCAGGTTAGAGATGGTGGAAAAAAAAGGTGAGTGAACTTGAAGACAGCATTAAAAATTATCACCCAAAAGGTAACACAGAGGGGGAAAGAAGAAAAACCTGAGTGAGAAATTAACAGAAGTTCTTGGCAGTGGTGTGACTGTAAGACAGTGGTGCTCTGCAAGGCTGCTGACCTCCCTGAGTGTGCTGGGCTGGTGGCACCTGGGAGAAAATTGATCCTGTCTGTCTCCCTCCCTCTCTCTCTTCTCCTTGCTTATGGAAGAAATAAAAACTCTTCGAAAAACGAACAGAGCATCAGTAAGCTTTGGAAAAGCTTAAAATGGCCTAATATACATGCAATTGGAGTATCCCAAGGAGAGGAGGCAGGATGGACAGAAAAAAATATTAAACCAATAATAGTTGATTTTTTTTCCAAATTTAATAAAAACTGTAATATCGCAGTTCCAAGAAACTCAATGAACACCAAGAATAAGAAATGAGAATACCACACAAAGACACGCTATAATTAAATGGCTATGAACCAAGGAAGAAAGCAGATTTTCATCCCGGTGCCAACAGTTTATTCTGGTAGCTATAGGTGGTTCCATCTTCCAGTTATCAGTCCTACATGTTCTCAGTCAGTATCACTGCATCCCTTCAGGGATGGCAGCATCAACTGGCCAGAAACCCCTCCTCAACAGTCTCTGTTTCAGCTCTTGGCGGGGGGGTGTCTCTCTCTGCTGCTGAGATGCTGGCACTAATAGTGCCCCATTCTCACGCATCCAGGTCTAAGCCTTTAAGGGCCTTCCTTTCACACTTCTAAATTTTGATAAACTCACCCCTTCTCTGTGTTCCCTACGTGTGGTAGTGGGGGCGGGGTGCTTCCTGTTACTATGACCTCTGCAATGTCTCCGCATTCTTTTGCTATGTAACCGATTTTTTATGTTAAATACTCTATATTAAAATACTGCTTAAATGACACAGAAGGATGGCTGTATCTTTTCAGGTATATGATAAAGATTTCATTATTCTATGAAATTTCAAATTCATATAAAAGAGTAAGTATAGAGGTTAAGTACCAAGAAGGATGGGTTGGACATTGAGTTTTTCTCTCAACTACAAATCCACATCTTTATTCTCCTCGTTGTGATCTGGGGCTTTGCCAGGTAGGTGTCGGACCGATTCTGCCCAAAGCATGTGGAACGGGAGAGGAGGAGAGAGAGAAAACATGGACCTTCTCCCTCTGCTTCGTTTCCTGTTCCTATCACTATTATCCTAATAATGGTTCTTCATCTACAAGCAGCAAATCATTCCCAGCCACCATGGTCAGATCAAGTTACCAGTTTGTTTCTCTCGGGAATCCCAGAAGTGGCCCCACTGTGCCTTCTTACAGAGTCTAGCTCCTCCTGGCTGGCATGCTCTCCTTAGAAGGTCAAGTCCCAACTTGATGAATTTTAGGAACTAATTTTCTCCATTCTTGAGTTCTTTCTGAATTCCTAAGGCAACAACACCAGTTAGGCTGTGCCCCATCTCAAAGGTGTTTTGGCCAGCTTTTTGGGGACTTTCCTAATTTCTCAGGTACCAGTGACCAAACTCCTCAGATATCTAGATCCAAACTCTCTAATGCCTCTCCCTAAAGCTTTTAAGTCCCAATAATCTCTACCCCCGACTGAACCCTAAGTGAAGTAACTACTTCCTGCAATTACTAGCTCTGTGATGATTTCCTTTAGCATGAAGATAAAAATTACACCAATTCTTTTAATATCTGACATGCTAGATTACACATTGGTTATATATTTTTTATTTTGTCTCATCTCTATTTTTAGAGATTGTCAATAAAATTTAAAATTTCAATATATCAGTTAAAATATGCATCTGTGCTTATACAACGTAAAAGAGCTAAACTAATTCTTGATCATTTTCATTTCTTCCACTTTATCTGAGGGGCAGTGTTATAGAGAGACTGAGAGACGGAAGATGAGAAATATTCATATCCTTTCTGATCTAGAAAAACTTACCACTAGAACGCTAAATCTTCTCATCAATAAAAACGTGACTGACAGAGTTATTGTAGATATTTAGTCAAGTATTTATGTGGAAGCATTCAGCAATTCTGAGTCCAAAGTAAGTTTTACTGATATTATCAACTATAAATATTGATAGAAGGTAGAAGAAAAAGATGATTAAAATTAGAGTGATGGAAATAGCTCAGAAACAGACAGAAAACTAATTTTTTTAAGAATTTTTTGCCTTAGGGCATGTGTGCTCACTAGAGACAGAGACAGTGAGAGGGAAAGTGAGAAATCACCCACCTAGGGGGATGGCCATGCCATAATCCCTTCTTCTCCATTCTCCTCCTGGGATCTTTGGCACGCACACAAACACCCACACACACACAGCCTCACACCCCTGGTGTGATTTTCAAGCCACCAGATCTGAGACTCGAACCATGGTTGACTATGTGGGAGTCGAGTGATGTAACCGCTACACCATCTGTTGGCCCCCAGAAAACTAATTTTTTTTAAAAGTGGACTTTTATTTTGTTCCCATTCTATTCAGCCCTAATATCCAGTCTACACAGCAGAGACCCATTTTGCCAATGAGACAGAAGACATTTATTAACATACAGCAAATACTGTTTATTGCAGACTTTCCAGCTGACTCATGTGAAAAAGGCACTATGAAAATTAATGAATCTAGATAATCTCTCTAAATGGATTTATGTTAAAATATACAACATTCTTACATAACATCTGTTTTATATATGTGAAATAATATAACATTTAATGACAAAAATCGTGTTTCCAAAAATAACATTTGTTGAAGGTTAGGTATCTTTCTTTTCTCTATCTAGAATCTTTCACGAGATTAAAATATGTGGAAATTAAGTGCTTCTTATTATCAGAAAGACTTGACACAGATAAACACATAAAATGGCCCCAATTTCCTTTTAACTACTTATATCAATATTCAGAACTGAGGCCTTCTTTAAGCAAAATACTGGAATGCACACCAATGCACGCTACTGCCTGTGATGGAGTTGGAATGTTTAATGACCTCTTTCCCACTTGTGCTTTTTCATATTTAAGAACACAGAATCAGTAATAAGTAGAATAGAAACAAAATCAAAATACAAGCTATACAAGGAATTGTGATTAATCGAGCCATGACAAATAAAATGTGCTGGGAATGTGCTATCGGTTTATATTTGCATGACCAAAGCCTGGCTGGACTTTACAGTTCATTCAAATGTTTTAATGTTTTTAAACTGTTGGCATTAAGCACTTTAAATAAATCTAAATATCATTATCATTGAGTATGTCAGAGAAGAGACCTAAGTTCACAGAGGCTAGCCTAAAGCGAGCTCTACCCTGAAGGACAGACATCATATTCACAGGTAAAACTGAAATTGTTTAGATTTTGAGTCATGAACAATATTTTTGCTTTGCTGCAGTGAATAAATTCACCACTGTCAGAAAATTCCTGCTTACATACTGAAATAAGGATGAAATAATTAATCTAGTAAAGAAAACATTACCTTGGGTAAAGTAGAAAAAAAAAATTTCCAAGGTCATAAATTTCCATTTAAAACTTTTAAGTTTTAATAAAAATAATAGGCCTAGAAGCAAATCCTCTGCTTACTCAGGTTTGCATTTTTGTTTTTTTAATGGTGATAAATTAAGTACACCGGAAAGATAAATCTGACATTCCCTTCAAGGCTTCTTAAAACAAAGCATGTTGGAATAATGCCAAGAATAATGGAGTTTAACACAAACAAACAAACAAATTAGTGACTGCTCCCCTCATCAAAAGATTCCACTCCTGAATCACTGGCAGCAGCACTGATTTTTTCCTGTCGTCTTCGCATAATTTCTTGCAACTCGGAGCTGCCATTGTTATCCTGAAAAATAAACATGGTTCAGACAAGATGGTTACTGGTTTGTGTAGGCTGCAGGTCATGTAATAAAGGCTCAATCCACGGCGGTTTTCTTCCAGTACCTCTTCAGGAAAACAAAAAGCTACCCTTCATACAAGCAAAGCTTCTATGCTTGCTAACATCACATCTGATTTTATAAAGTGTCTTAAGGCAATTTATTCACCATACCTTTTATATGGACATGATTTTTATCAATATAAATCAATAATGCATGTGGAATACTCTAGATTCTGGGGGAGAAAGAAAGTATGTATAAAATAAGCACAATCATCTGGTGTATTATCAAAAAAACAAACAAAAAACTTTTTTAGGTCAAAATAAGATAATGCTTTTTCTTAGGAAATTTAAATCAGGCCAAAGAGTGGGTTCAGAAAATACCAAGTTTCCCTCCATATAGTTTTGGCCCTTTGATCATGGTGGCTTTTCTCTCTCCTCAGCCCTAACTACAATCTCTGTGCCTCTTTCTCTACTTCCCTCAACAGAAGTCTCTGGCAACACAGGTGAGTAATCTAAAAGATCAACTATATCTAAAGGCAAGGTGTGGTGGGATGGTGGCTGAGGAACAAGGAGAACCTTAGGTGGTCGTCCACTGCCTCAATTCATGTCCAGACAAAGAGGCAGCAAGAGACCATGATGAAGCGGGTGAGGGCAAAGGACAATGGTAGGGAGTTATGGACAGAAGGTATTCAGAAATTTTAGGAATATGGAATTTTTAACACACCTTTAAGAACCAATTTATACACTCTCAACAAAATCAGAATGTATAATAACAAAAGACGTAAGAGAAAAGACATAAGCCTTACCTACACTTCTACTCATGTAGAACACAATCGTATCAAACCCTAACACAGAATCCCCAAGATCAATGTTATAGGAAAACTTCCAAGGTAAATATAATTTCTCTTCATTGAGAATGGTTACAAAGGTTATAGGAAACTAGTTTATCTTGAGTGAGTTAACTGTTGACTTTCTTAACATACCTAGTTTTGATAATTACATGTCAATTTCATACCAACGCCTATTTCCTTTACTTTGAGTTCAAGTATAATTTTCATGAAACTATTAAGAGAAATGAGATACAACAGTTGGAAACTACTACTCGCCCCTAGTCCATTTTATGTAGAGTAGGCTACTGGAAGCTTAAATATATCCAACCTAGAAAACATTTACTCTTCTGCTTTCAGAAAGACAACTGTGACTAAATACTCTCCAGGGCTCTCTATTTTCAATAACTCTCTGATTATTTAAGGCTGAAGATATAAGACTGGGGTTTTAAAACCTTATAACCCACAACCTATTAGAATCTCCAGTATAAATATTAAAAACAGGTAAGAGTTCTGGCCTCCTAAGGCATTTGTTCACTCAGAATTGAATTTCTATTATTGTATCAAAATTGAAATTCCTATAGAAATAGTTAATGCATACAAAATGAGATCACTATGTGTTCTGGTAAATGTCCAAAAGTATATGCTCAAGCATCATGTTAGAAAAGCATTTATAATATATTACTCTCCCTGCAAATGGTCTGATGGCCTCCACTGATGATTTTATAAAAGCTGAGTAACATTTAATTCAGCTCCATAAGAAAGGGAAATTGGCCAATACAAACAGAAACAGTTGTTTCCGGAGTTGTCAATTCTCAGTCCATACTTTTGACTAATGGAGAAAAATGCCATCAGTATTGACAAGTTTAGTTTGACAAGTCGTACCTCTAGTGCAGCTTTTTGTACAGTGATTTGGCTAAAGACTCTGGCCCCTTCAGGGCAGACTGTCCTCAGTTCATCTTTATTGAGAGAGAAAAGTTGTGCACCATTTAATACTCCAAGACTGTTGACAGTCCTGAAAAAAAAAAAAAAAGATATAAGAAACAGAGCAGTAAAAGTATTGCCTAGAAAATAAAAAAACAAAAGACAATTTTTAGTTCCAGCTAGTAACCTCCCTTTTCCAAGTGTTCCCTACACTGATTTTTTCCTACACTGAAACTCCTTAAATGGCCTACAGTGCTTAGTCGGGGCACTGACAGGGACTTTATTGATGATAGCCTTGAGGTTATCTAAGACAACTGATTACTTACTAAGTATGAAAAAGGAGTCAATTTGGTTTAGTATCACTACTGCTTAATATCAGTTCCTTGGGCAGCAGGTAGCATGGTGGTTAAGATGCTGGACTCCCACATAACTGACCACAGTTCAAGTCCCAGATCCAGCAGCTTGGGACTCACATGAATGCACGCACATGTATGCGTGTGTGCCCAAAGTCCCAGAAGGATGGGACTAGCAGTTAGCATAATGGCTATGTCCCTGGACTCTTATATAGTCAACCATGTTCAAGTCCTGGGCCCGGTGGCTTAAACTCACACCAGGCGCATATGCATATGTGCCCAAGATCCCAAGAGGAGAATGGAGGAGAAGAGACTGCAGCATGGCCGTACCCCTGGGGAGTGATTTTTTGCTTTCTGTCTCTCTGTCTCTGTCTTTCTGGTGAGCGCATGCATGCGCCCTATAGGAAAAAATCTTAAAAAAATAAAGAAACCAAAAACCAAAGTCCCAAGAGGAGAATGGAGAAGAATGGATTGTGGCTTGGCCATCTCCCCTGGGGCATGATTTCTAACTTTCTCTCTGTCTCACTCTCCAGCAATTGCACACCCTATAGCAAAAATCTCTCATCAAAAAACAAAAAAAGAAGTTCGTCGTCTGAAACACAGTAGAGGCCGTAGCCAAATGGTATCTATGAAGTGTCTTCAGCACCTATGTGCTCTCCAAGTTGTATGGGAACCTACATTACTGTGTGAGTTGTACCATTCATAGCAAGGTAGTCAGTCAGGAGCTCCAAAGGATCAAATGCTCCCACCCCAATTTACACCTGTGGGTGCTGCCCCTCACCTTCCACCAAAGCCCATGGGCTGAGTCTTTAAGGATTGAAGAACTGTCATCCGGGAAAAAATAAAATGCAACTTACACATTAAGAAAAAAAAAAATCAATGATGAATAGATACTACTAACTAGAAAATGGAGTGTCATCAAGAAATGGTTACATCTTTCAATTCTTTTTTATCTATGAATAACTATAGTCACTTCCTGAGTGTAGAACAAAGTATACAGTGTCATTTGTGACACTTTAGTAACCAAATTGAAAATGATGCATGATCTACATGGATTTTCAAAGTATTCACAGACAGACTTACACAGGGTTGAATCCCTTTGACTGTAACCACGCCTTCACGTCCTCTGGTGTGGAGTCATACGTGATATTGACAACTGGCACGTTCTGCCGTGGCACGTGGAACTTCTTCTGAGCGGCACTCCGGCCAATGGTCAGCCTGTGGATGAGCTCATCCTGCACTTCCTCCATCTGAGATTTCCTTCCTAGATACAGCAGGGAGTAAGTTATTTTCAAAATTCCGTAACCTTACCCATTCTCTAGAACCCCAACCCAAATAAAACTTTGACCCCAATAGGACTTACAATCTAGTGTTGTTGTCATCTTTCCTTACTTTTATCACCACCCAGTATAAATTCCATGGCCAATTATAAAAATAGCCTCCCAGCTCTTCCTTTCTCCATTGTACTCATTTGGCGAAACTCCAACCCTGGTTAAATGGAACTTTCTGCCTATTCTGTGCCTGCACCTGCACAGCTGAATATAACACAACAGTACTGAATGATCTCATATTAAATTCATGATTATGAACCTCAGTGAGCTATTAATGCCCCCTGACAATCATACTACTTTTCTTGAGACTAGTGGTTTTTGACTGGGAACAATTTTGACCCCAGGGGACATTTGCCAATGTCTGGAGACACTTTAGGTTGTTGAAGAAAAAGGGGGAAGGTTGCCACTGTCATGCAGTGAGTAGAGGCTGCGGAGGCACAGAATATTCTACCTCCTGTAGCAGACAATAGACCAGTCTCAAATGTCAAGGTCGAGGTTGAGGAACTCCACCCTTGATGTTTTGGACAGGTATCGCATATCTTCTACTTTCTCTGCAAAGCTCCAACCCATTTTCCAAACCTCATCCTGAACTGAAGGTCCGACTTCCTAATTTCTAAATTAGAATTAGAGGAGGACCTCTATGAATTGCCTAATGGTTCTCTTTCCTAAAGAACTTCCTCCTTCTATTCTGCCTTCCTTTCTATTACATTATATATCAACTGTTTCCACATTTCTAAGGTCAACCCCTCTGGTGTTCGAGACCCCAAGTGCTCTATCTATTCAAATACTTTGACAGTGACTTCTCCCCTATTTCCCCTGTGTCACCAATCTTCCTCCTTCACTGAATCATTTCACCAACATAAAAGCATGCTATTATGTTTCTCACCTTTAAATAAGCCTGTTTTTACCATGTCCCTTTCACAACTATTGCTCATTGATGTTTGTTTTAGCAAAAACTCCATTAGAAGTTGCCTATACTAGCTGACTCTAATCTTGCTCCCCTATTGTCTCTTAAATTTGTTGCAATTCAATTCATTGCTTTTGCCCCATCTCTCCATGTACTGTTAAAACTACAATTACTTCCCAACCATTATCTCATTTAACTTATCAGCAACATTTTGAAGTAGGTGATTGATTCTGAGGTAGACCTCCCTTTTGAATTCCTCTCTATATTGGAAACCTGCTTTCTCCTTTTGCCTAGAGCAAAAAGATTGACTAACACTCCTACTGTCTTTGCTAAATAACCCAAACCTCCCTACCCTAAGATGTTCCATAATGATGTAATAATCATCAGTCACCAGACCCCTTGCCCTGAGCCATGAAGACCATTAAGATTCCATTGTGTTTAGGTAGAGATGGAACATACCCTTAGAATGATTAACCTGCTTGTTTTGAGTCTGTAATTTGCATTTGCTTTTACAATGTAAAACCTTACCCTCTACCCTTTCAAGCCAACCATTCTTTGTTCTTGTGATTGCTAAATCAATCCAGAAAAGAGTGTGATTTTTTGCCTTTATAGGCACCCCTCACCTTGCACTTGGGGCTGTGGGGTTTTGAGAGACATGAGTCGCCCCATATGCTGCCGGCTTAATCGATACAACTCTAATACATTTGGCTGTGTCTAGATGTCCTCTTATTATTTGCTGATTAAACTATAATAATTCCTCCCTGAAACATGTTCTTTTGGGGCTTCCAGGACACCACTCTACTGCTGATTTTCCTTGCATTTCACTGGCTACTCCACAGTCTCCTTTCCAGAATCATCTCATCTTTCCAATGAAGTAATGCTGAAGTGTTCCAGGTTACGATCCTTGGGCCTCTTCTCTGCTTGTACTTGCTCCATTGATGATCATATGCTGGGTCTAATGGCTAAAAACTCCAATTAAAAGCTGCTGACTGCTAAATCACTTCTCCAGTCCTGGCTTTTTATTCAGAATTCTCGATCCATATGTGCTGTCTACTATACATATTTATTTGGAAGTCTATTAGACATCTTAAATATATTTCAAATATAACATGTCCAAACACAATTCTTGGTCTTCTTCTAACTTGTTTCTAGACTTTCCAACTCAGCTAATGGTGATTCTATTCTGTCTAGTTCCTTTGCAAATACCAAGGAGCTACACTTGATTCCCTTTGACCTATACTAGATCGAATCCAACAGCAAATCCTATTAGTCCTGCCATCAAACTCTATCCAAAATCCAACTACTTTACTCCATTTTTTTTTTCTGTTGCCAGCTTGGTTTGAGCTATCAGCCTTTTGACAGGTCTCTCTTCTCTCCTCCTCAGCATCACTTATTTTTCTTTCCCTTCTTAATACAACAGCTAGAATTATCCTTTTAAAATATAAGTCAGATCCTGTAGCTCTTCTGCTCCATGTATTCTCTCATTATCCAAATGACCCCTAGTAAAAGGTCCTATATGACCTCTACCTCCCCAAGGCAACTATGACTCTCCCCCGAGCTCTCTACTGTAGCTCACAATGGCTTCCTTGGCGCTATCAGTTCCTGCTGCCTGAAATGTACCCTTCCACCTGCTATAAACTCATAGCTCACTCTCTACCTCCATTAGGTTTCCCCTGAGTTATTCAACATTGCAACCCCCTTCCCAATGGGACTCTCTATCCATATAACCATGCTATTCTGCAAAGCACTTTCCACCTTCTAATATTCTTTAACAACTTAAGTGTTTATTATCTACTTCATTTTTTCATTAAAGTACAAGCCTGAAGAGAAAGAGGACCTGTCCTTCATTTATTTGCTTCCATATCCTGGCACCTAAAACAAAGTGTTGATTCAATACATACTCATTTTTAAATGTCAAAGGGGAGAAAAGGAGGGAGGACAGAGCCAGAGGGTGAGGGAACAGTACTGATTGTTGTATTTAAGTGATATCTTATATGCATTTCACTACTTAACTCTTAAGTCACCACATCACAGTGCCGTCAGCATGTAAGTGCATCTGAAAGGACCAAGTATCACCATACTAGAAGATTTATTTTCTTATCCACTACCTTAGCCATGGATCATCATCATTATAGCATAATATTCTTTACAAGGAATACATAAAACCTCTTTTCCATGAGCTCCTGACTTTGGGTTTCCATTTTCATCGTTCCGCACACAACGAACAAACTAACTTTATACTTCTTTCTAAACTAACACTACTGATTAAAACAGATTAAACTCAAATAAAAGGGCTAGTATTTCAAAGGAAATGAAAGAAATGCAAAGCAGCTAAAGCATTGGTATCTTCAAAAGTGGTAAGACAGAAGGTTTCTGGATCCTGTGATAAAGCAATCTCAGCTCATGTAACACATGGCCCCAAGAAGCTGTTTGCATAGCAGCACACAGTGACAGTCCAGCAAAAGGGTCTCATTTTTTGCCACTTGGTACATTTTAAAACAGGCATATTGGCTTTTCTCCCCTTATTCCTGGCTCTTTACTAACATCTTTATGAGCATTCACTTTCTAGTAGTGTCTATATTTATTTATATTTGAGAGATTTTTGCTATAGGGTGCGTGCACTTGCCAGAGACAGAGAGAGAGAGACAGAAAGCGAGAAATCACCCCCTGGGAGGATGACCATGCTGCAATCCCTTCTCCTCCATTCTCCTGGGATCTTGGGCACGCATGCACATGCTCCCAGCATGAGTTTGAAGCTACAAGGTCCAGGATTCAAATCATGATGGGCCATGTGGGAGTCCAATGATGTAACTGCTATGACATCTTTTTTTTTTATACAGATTTTTATCAGAAATTTAGGCAGTAAACAGAGAATGTAGGTAACTTACACAGAAATATTTTGAGAGCAATCTAGCTACTAATCAACACACACTTAGACATACTGATCTTGTTCTTTAAGACTATGAAGAAGCCCTAACATTCATACATTAAAAAAAAAGTTCTCTAAAAGTTCTACCAAGAAATATTTATTTTGTAAAAAGGAATATCTATTTAATGTCAAGCTATACTTATGAGACATCTTAAAAAGGAACTTTACAAATGTAATTGCAAGGTTTTGTTACTTTAAGGCAACAAGTACATGCATTAATTGGAGAGATGTTTCTGTTTTATATATCAGCAGCACCTCTGACTTACGAAAAACAGCCTTGAAAATGATGAGTCACAATTATTGGGAGAATTCTCTATCTTTAAAAGTATTCAAACTATGTCTCTTTCCCAGTAGGTTATTCTGGGTTTCTTAGAGTGGGATAAGTACAAACTGTCCCAGCCCACAGTAATGTTCCAAATGGGGACTGAGTGCCTGGAACTCTGATCCTAGCCCTGGAGAAAGAGGGTCCCAATGTCAAAGATTAAGAGTGTCCCAATGGCAAAGATTACTTGGCTGACGAGTCACAGGAGGAGATGTTATGAACTTGAGGAGAGAATAGAGGAAGAAGCAGTCATTGCTAAGAGGAAAATTCTCCTTAGGGAAATCAACAAAAATATTTATAGAACTTTCTCATCTTTAAACCATGTCTTTTGTGTCTTTGAAAATAAGAATAAAAGCATCCTTTAAGAAAGCCACATGTATTTAAAATTTTTAGTATTGTATTCTATCATACAATACAATTTTATCACTTATATACATACACTCATAGAGTCGTTTTTGCTACACAGAAAAAGTTTGTAGCTGTTCTGAAACTTCAGTTTTCCTTTAGTTTTCTATTAAGGTCACGATATGGATATAACATTTATTTTAATCAGGTACAGAAAGAAAATATGTCTGTGTCGACTGTGTTTACTGCATTTAGCCAGAATTTCTACAGCAGTTTAGTTTGTGTCTTTTTTAAAAATTTATCAAGAATCACCATGACGGGAAACCAGCAGTTAGTATAATGGCAATGTCACTGGACTCCCACGTAATCGACCGCAGTTCGTGTCCCGGACCCGGTGGCTTAAAACTCACGCCGGGCGCGTGTGCGTGCATGGCCAAGATCCCGAGAGGAGAATGGAGGAGAAGGGATTGCAGTGTGGCCATCCCCGCTGGGGGGTGATTTCTCGCTTTCTGTCTCTCTGTCTCTGTCTGTCTGGTGAGCGCACACGCCCTGTAGTGAAAACCTCTTCAAAAAAAAAAAAGAATCACTATGACTGAATCAATGGGGCTATGACTTACTAATATGAGAATCAAAGTAGGGTAAACATGAAAGTGAAAGATTCAATAATTGAGCTTCAAATATAAGTCTTAAGCTTCTAATCTCAGATATAAAGTTAATAATTCAATACATGTATCTAAATGTCAAAGATGAAATTTGGTATGAATAATAATTTGTTACTCCTTTTCTAACAATATAGATATTATCAAGGCAAATGGTGACACAGCCAAGCACCACGTAATGATGTTAGTCAAAGATGAACTCAATATACAATGGTGGTTCTGTAAGAGTATGTACCGGGCCCCATCACGTAGTGCACAGCAGGCTGTACCATCTCTCGGCTTGTGTAGGTACAGTCTATGATGTCCACACAAGGACAAAATCACCTAGCACATTCCTTAGAATGCATTCCTGTCATGAAGAACACATGACTTCAGAATGATTATCTACAGTAAAGTGTGTTTATATGGAAAAAATAATTCAGAACTCTAAGAGACCCATATTGAGAAAATGACAAATATCTGTGTAACGCACACACACACACTTACACATTTTTGTATACTTCTATCATATTAGGAAATATAAAATATCTTATTTTCCCAAGACTGTTCATATATCAAGTATTGGTAAGGGAATTTTAAAATACTTTTAAAAAACATTGAGTATTATGTAAAATAGACATGCCATATACTACAAGGTAAAACAAAATAAAAATTATTCTAGAATTCCCTTTGGTATTCAAAATATCTATAATGTTATTCTCCAGTACTAACAAGGGTAATCCAAAATAGGCCATAGTTTTGTTGTTGTTGTTGTTGTTTTTGAAGAGGTTTTTGCTATAGGGTGTGTGCGCTCACCAGAAAGACAGAGAGAGACAGAGACAGAAAGCAAGAAATGACTCCCCAGGGCGGATGGCCACACTGCAATCCCTTCTCCTCCATTCTCCTCTTGGGATTTTGGGTATGCACACACACACACACGCCTGGTATGCATTTAAGCTGCTGGGTCTGGGACTCAAACCATGGTTGACTATATGGGAGTTCAGTGACGTAGCCATTATGCCATCTCCTAGTCCCAGCCATAGTCTTTCTTTTAGTTTATTTAAATATGGTTTTCATAGAAACCATTTGTATGAAAAAATCAAATTTAAATGTATACAGCTATGAAGTTAAAGTCTAAATCATTTGAGATGTGAATCAGGAGGGAAAACCTGAGACTGCCATCAGCAGGTGATTACGTTTTGACTGAATATATGTTAGAATCAAATGCAAGGAAAAGAAGCAGAAGACAAGGATGAGGATGATTATCAGCAAATATTTACAGACTACTTATTAACATGCCTGGTCAAAATCAGGGCTTTTCAGCCTCCCACCATTGATGCTTTGGGCCAGACAGCTCTGTGGTAAGGACCGTTCTGCGCACGGCAGGGCGCTGCTTAACATTCCAGGCCTCCCACCATCCCTATAAAGAGCTTTATGACATTGGATAATGTTTGGAATGGACATGTGTACTCACTCTGGCTCTAATAAAGAATACCAGGCCCAACGCTGTGGTTCACCCACAAAAAATAAATAAATAAAAAACATTCCAGGCCTCTACCAATCAGATACCAATAGCTTCCCTCCACCCCCCACCCCGTGTCACATTCCAAAAATGTCTCCAGACAACAGCCCATGTCCCCAGGTAGAGGAGGAAGAGGACAAAATCAGCCCTAGTTGGGGATACAATGAACTAAAATATATAATGCATTTGGTCCTCACAAGTAGTCTGTGAAGCAAATACCATTATTTCTCCCCCTTTTCAGATCCTGAAGTTAGAGAGGACTATTAAAGGGCTGTAGGTCACACGGCTGGTAAGTCATGTCACTACCCACACTCCAGTATGTCTGATTCCAGAGTCCGTTCCAACCAGCACAAGAAATTGTAATGTGCGTAGAAACACACACATTAGAGATGGAGAAAACGTCCTGCCCTCAGGATTACTTAAAGGTTGAGGAACCAGGTGAACTGTTTTAGTCTGTGAAATACCACATTACGTATAAAGATTACTGTCTATATTTAGTAATATTTAATACCAGTAGAGCCCATGATAAGCAATATTTTGCTTAATAGAGCTTTGAATTCATGGAAGAAGCTTTTTGCCTCCCTGGGAAACTCACGATCTACTGGAAGTTGCTTGTGTCTCTGGCTATCTCGCACAATACTGCCACCGCTGTCACTGGAGCTGCTGTTCTGACGGGTCACATTTGCCGGGACCTTTGACACAGGAACGGGTGCCGGAGCAGAAGGTGGGAGTGGGACAGGGACAGGAGCCGGGGTTGGAGGTGGTGAGGGGGCAGTGGGAGTATCAGCTGGTCTTGGCCCATACTCCATCCTTTGTTTCTGTAAAAAGACAAATAACTTGAAATGTAAAAGAAAATAAAAATGTAGGCTAGGATAGGCAATTGTTGCTATTTTTTTTGTAAACTTACCTGCAAATCCATAATTGTGTATGTATGTGTATACATACACAATTGCTAATCCTCTATAGTATAACGTCATTAAAAATCATCTTTTAAAGATTCTACATGTCGTTTCACAATTAAAACGTAAGTTAAGGAGTCACAAGGACACGTAACAGCAAACAGCAGTATTATAGTGATGAATGGTAAGAGAACAAAATTTAGATTTGGAATCATACAAGACCAGGGTAAGCTGAAAGATTTCTGATTATTTTTTAATTCACACTAATAATAATTTCTAACTATACTGAAAATCTAGATGCCAACAGTATAATGTATCTCTCCTTATTTTAAATGTATGCTGTACTCAAAGATTTTTAAGCACAAATAATTTATTAAGGACAAGGGCAATATTCCAGTACATATACTTTAATTTTTTTTTTTTTTTTTTTTTTTTTTTTTTTTTTTTTTTTTTTTTTTTTTTTTTTTGCTGTAGGGTGTGTGTGCTCACTAGAGAGACAGAGGGAGGCAAGGAAAGTGAGAAATCACCCTCCGAGGGGGCATAGCCACACCACAATCTCTTCTCCTCCATTCTCCTCTCTGGATTTTGGATATGCACACCCCTGCGCCTAGTGTAATTTCCAAGCAGCTGGGTCCAGACCTTACACCCAGCAGTCAGTCATGTGGGATCCAGTGTCAACCTCCACACCACCTGCTGGCACTAGAGCAATAATTTTAAAATGCTGGGGGCCGGATAGTAGAGCCGCAGTATAAAGCCATGATCTGCACAGCAAGATCACATGGGAAGGTTCTCGGAGTTCAGAGACTCCCTGAGTACATCAGGCCCATGAATTCCCATGATCCCAGGCTGGACAAAGATTGAGGGTAGCCTACGTGCCAGGGCCCTCTGGGGTGCTGTCTCTTTCTTTCTTGCTCATGGAAGAAATAAATAAATAAACTTTTAAAATGTCATTAATGTTTTCAAGGCACAACCCTTTCTGCCATCACTTTAAAGCTAATTTTTTAAAACTGAAGATTTTGGAAGAATGCTATGGCATGGATGGTTTAACGATAATGATATGGTCTTTAACTAAATGTTTATGACTACAACTCAAAAACCTACCAGACAGAAGGACATGTGGGAATTTGTATCTTAAAAGGTAGATATGATAAAATACATGAAGCTTTGATCATTTTAAAATAATGATTGCTATATAAAATAACTGATAACTGCACGCTAAGAGGCTCCAAATTCTCAAAAGGCACATTTTCTTCATAGAATCAAAATTACACTGCAGTGACTTGTAATTGAGAGAAAGTTTAGATATTGCACTGCACACTTTTAATTATTCTAAAATTTAGGATTAACTGATGAAATGCAAATAGACCTTTTGGTAATCTGGACTGCTCATTAAAACAGTATTCACTTTTAAGGTCTTTATTGGCCCAAATATAAGGTATTATTGATTGTAAGAGAGTCCTCCCTAATTTCCACAGAGTTCAAAAACACACCACACACACACATGCACACACACACACACACATACACACACATATATATAATCACTTTTTAATTAAATCATTACTCAAAACAAAACAAAACAAAACAAAAAACACAGCAACCTTCACCATAGTTGCCTTCACAGCAAATGACTAACACCTGTGGAAATCTGAGTGGGAGGGAGCCCTCATTCTTTTCTGCTATCTCTTTAAAAGTTACCACTTGCCAACCAGTGGGATGGGAAAGGTGGGAAGTGTGTTATGAGAGGGTGAGAGCAGAAATGAAAGAGGTGTTTATAATGCTGCTAGATACTGGGGGGAGGAGGGTAAGGAGCAGAGAGGAAGGAGGGAGGGAGAGAAGGAAGAAATGGGGCTGATTCTCAGGGCAAACCACAGACTTAGAATGAGACAGAAACAGAGACAGCTAATGCCTTTAGCATTCAAAGCCTAGAAATATTTTTAATGTATTCAATACTATTAGGCCATTGGAAAAGTCATGATGTATTTTTGTAAGTTTTTCTAGACAAAAATGTGTCATGACTTTCCCGACAACCCAATATATTAGAATAATAATTATTACACTCCACAAAAATCATCTTCCTATATTTAGGCCAATACGCCATTTTCAAACAGTCAAAATACAGCAAAAATCACCAAAATGCAATACTTAGCACACACCAAAGTCATCTGAATAACATATATGCAATGTCCCTTTGACAAGAACATCCTTCTTCACATGTAATTTCATGAAGGGTTAATGAATTCTCACATTAGTGTTTCAAATGTGTCCGAGTTTAAATGATTGTTTTTAAAGCTTAACAACAAAATACCAGGAGCTCTGCATTCCATGAAATGATTCATATTTTCTGCTTTCATAAAAACAAGAACAGCTAGTGTTTACTCTCCATCAAATAATACGGTGAAAAACTGAATACTCTGTGTGTTATTGTCACAAGCCTGAAGACAGGCTCACCAAATGTCCTGTGCTTCATTTCATTCCTCTGTCTTTGCTACATAAGGCAACTTTATCAGGATGACCTAAGAGAACAATAGGTTTAAAACAACTATGTATGTATACATATGTACACTTGATTTAAAAAATATGAAAAATTTTAATGACTTATGCTATAAATTATATACTTGCATATTTTCCTCTTTTCTTAATCTTCTCCTTTTGCCTCATGCTTCCAACCTCTGCCATAATAATGAGGAAAAAGCCTCTTCCTTGAATCACTATAAGTCATTCTGAAATGGCAACTAAGAGAGCTTTTCTGTGGAAACTGGTTTCTAATTTTTGGTGCAGGAGAAATGGAATTGGTGTTGACTCCTGCAGTCTCTCGCCGTGTCCCTCTCTATCTATCTTCACTCTTCTATCTTCATTCCTTTTACCTCCTACTTGACTGCTGTTTGTGTGTGTGTGTGTTTTCCTGTCTCTTGGCTATTTTTGGTTGGAGAAAGAGAATTAGTGACTTCAATTTACCTCCAAATTTTGGAAAGTTTAGAAAAGCAGAACCAGACTCCAAATTTAAATTTCTTTTCCTAAATGAAAGATGCTGAAGCTCCAAATCAAAAATAAACCTTAACCAGCTCTCTCAGTTTGCCTGACACTTCCCCGGAAATTAGCATTGAAAATCTCACATTCCCATACACCTCTCCAAGGAAGCGCAAACTTGGATGGCTGGTCTACCTAAGGGAGATCCACTTTTGCACCCTAATTGTCATTTCCTCACTCTCGCCCTTAAACTCCCATAAATATAAAGTGTTATGTAACATAAAACTCATTTGTCTTACTCAAAACAAACAAACAAACAAACGAAAAAACAGAATGACTAGACCTAGACCTCACACAAAAAATTTACTTTTCATTGACAATGAAATAGAAATGAGTCATTTTTCTTTAGCAACTAAAACTGAGTAGAATTTCTCAAGGATTAAAGAAAGTTATTGAGAGATAAGCTCCTGATTCACACAAGGTACTGCTTCAGGGGGGAAATTATGCAAGTACACCCAACAAAGTCATTAAAATTGAGCTGTTTTTTAAAAAACTTAATCTACTCTGAATTATAAGTTTCTCCTCTAACTGTTGTCTCTTTGGAACTCTGCAGTGAAAACTAAGCACAGCTGGAACATTTGGAGGGTGTTAAGTCCACAGATTGAATCCAAAAAATAATATTAAAAAGAAGAGCCATGAGGGAACAAATGTGGGTTACCTCTGACAGCTCACCAAGTAACTGCTATTGGGAAAACACAGCAAATCACATCAAATGAGAAATTCACATGGGAGATGGAATTAAAAGAGTACAAGTTATAACATATATGAAGTATCCAAAAACATAAGCAAATTAGTTTTTGACAGAAAAGTTATTTGCTCACAAATTAACCAAAGAAGGTGCTTATAGATATATAATTAATTTCCATCACTCTTATCTAGCCATGTAAAACTAACCATGTAGATAGATGACAGTATAAACACAATATAATATTTCAGTAGTGGGGCTGGCAGGTGGCATGGTGATTCAGGGCAATGGACTCCGCTATGGCTGATGGTGCTTCGAGTCCCAGACCCGGTGGCTTGCTTTCTCACTTTCTTTTTCTCTCTCTCTCTCTCTCACTCTCACTCTGTCCCTCTCTGGTCAAATCAAAATAAATAAATAAATAAATAAATAAATAAATAAATAAATAAAACCTGGCAGCTTGCTTTCTCACTTTCCTTCTCTCTCTTTCTCTCTCTCTGGTCAAATTCAAAATAAAATTAAGTAAAATAAAATAAATGAATAAAATTAAAAAAAAGAATATTTCAGTAGTAACTATTTGCAATAAAGTATGTTATAATAGTACGATATAGGCTCATTTCATTTTTATGGCTTATGAAAAAACAATTAGAGGGGCCAGTAGGTGGTATGGTGGTTAAGGCACTATACTCCCACATGGCTGACTATGGTTCGAATGACAGACCCAGAGGCTTGAAGATGACTCTGGATGCATGCGTGTGCGTGCTTAAAATCCTAAGAGGAGAATTAAAGAGAAAGATTGTGCATGATTATCCCCACTGGGGTTGGGGGGGGTGATGGTGGTGGTTTCTCACTTTCCCTCTCTGGCAAGCACACATGCCCTATGGCAAAAGCCTAAAAAAGAAAAAGAAAAAAATTAGAGCACATTAAAGACTAATTTTTATCTAATAGGTGATTTTATAAAAAGAATATCATGGTGTGATCTTAGTAAAATTCATTTCTTAATATGTAGGCTATATAAAAAAATCTAACATTTTATATAATTATATACACATGTTGGGAAATAATACACACATGCGCACGCACATGCTCACATATGCACACACCCCCACCAAAGGGTCCTCAAAGAGTTCATGGGAAATACTTATTATGAAAAAACCACGCAAACACTTAAAAAATTTTTTACACCCAAACAAACTGATACTATTCT